CTTCCGCCGCCACTCCTCCCCTTCATTACGTCAGCCAACAGGGGAGACTGATCCCGCCCGCCGGCTGGGGAGACTTAATGCGCATGCCCGGCAATGCCGCGCATGCGCATTAGACCTCTCCATAGGAAAGCATTGAAAATGCTTTTCAATGCTTTCCTATGGGGATTTTAGCAATGTTGGAGGTCCTCACACAGCGTGAGGACGTCCAGTTATTAATACAATCTAAAAAAGTATGAAAAATGTCATAATACTGTTTGCTTTTACTGCAATAAAATACACATTGTTGTATTCAGCTATGTCTCATGTGTAAAACAGTACCCCCAATGTACAGGTTTTATGGTGTTTTGGAAAGTTACAGGGTTAAATATAGGGCTTGTGAATTAAATTCTCTGGACTTTCTGCCTGGGTTGCTGCCCTCTGGCATTTAGGACCGGCCCTTTAAGGACGGCAGAGAATGCCCACCATCCTTGAGGGGTTAAATAGATATAATTATACACCAATATAGTTATTCACAGTAGTAAGAATTCAAAGCGATTTCAAAGTGAATTTCAATTTAGGATCCCTGTCTTAGTCTCCTGGTTTTGTTTCTGTGATTCCTGAATTCATGAAATGTGCTTGTGGCTGTGTGATTCTATTCCACTGCATTTCTTGGTATAGCAGAGCATTGCGGCAGTGTGTTGCGTAACTGCAACCCTGACTGTCAGTCGCCTCGCTGTCTATGCAGCCAGGATAATGCACATCGATAATGCCTCTATAGCAGGGGCACCCAAAAGGTAGTTCCCCGATACTGGCGGCAATCTCTGCAGACATATTTCTGAAGGTCTAATACATGAGACATCCAGAAATAGCCCTTTGCATCGTGCAATCAGCTTGTACAAGATGTCCCGGAGGCCTCTTCAGGTAGCCCCGGTGAGACAATTCTTGGACTGCCTCACAGAGGTTAATAACGAGGTGGTGTTATTCTACTCGTTTATCACGTTTTTTTCCCCCTGTATTCCATACATGTGAAGTTGAAGAGGATTTAAAGCGGGCAATAACTATATTTAGTTTTCCCATATGGAGGATAGGTGCATTATCAACCAGCTTTGTGCATGCGCACAAGAACAGTTTCCTAGTTTTTAAATTGCTCCTGATTACTGCAGTGTGAAGGTTGTTTTCTTGCTTTTAGAACTCACTGCTTTTTTTTTGTGGTTTGTACGTATTGGGAGAGGTTGGGAAGAATGTTTGAAAGACAAAGGACTTACAGTAGGGTTTTTTCCTCTAGTTGTTATCCTCCTTCTTTGCTCGATTTTGAGTTGTTGTTCTTCTACAAGTTGATTTTATATTCATACATTTTCAGAAATGGTGTAAGGATTATTTCCACTCTGGGCAAAGACCCATTTTGATGCCCTCTCTTAAATCACTGGGGTCACTCAGGGGAATGTGTGGTTTCCAGACGAACCAGGTGATACCATCAGAGGGGGAGAAGACGCTAACAGGGCTGCTGCTTACTTAAGGCAACACAGGCCTGGCCCTGGGTGCTGGCAGTCCACACTACGTTATGGTGTACACCAATTTAAGATTCAGATAATGTTAAAGAGATACTGCAACTCCCATCACACTTAACCCTGCAAGTGTAATTATTGCAGCTTTCATAAACTGCAATATTTACCTTGCAGGGTTAAGTCCTCCTCTAGTGGCTGTCTACTAGGAATAGGAACTGTTACTATAGGGATGGTGCTAGTACTCCCTAGATAGGAGCTGTTACTTCAGGGTTGGGGGCTGTTAGTCTAGGGACGGGACTGTTGCTCCAGGAATAGGGCTTATTACTTTCTTCTGTTTCGGATCCTGAGTACCCCTACTCTACTTCCCTTCCAGTCAGATCCTTTCCATGAGATATACTCCCTGTTCATATATACCAAAAATCTTAGTTGTAGTTCTGTCTGCGTCCTGTATTAAGGGTCTTTTCGGTTTGGGCCAGGAGACTATCCATGTAAGATAAAAGGTACCTGTCCTCCAGATGTATTGGAGCCTACCTTCAGAGTGATGGGAGTTACATGGTCATCATCCACATTGTTCACAAGCAGTGAGGGTTACAGCTCTGTACCTGGCAGGTTATTCAATGACCTGTTTCTGTAAATTGAAAACTCAATTGCAAAATGTAGCCAAATTATGGAGATTTCTTCCAATTTAACTGACTATAACAGCAGCATTTAAACCTGGACCCCAGGATAAACTATGGACCTGCTTTATCTCTGAATTACCTATTCATTAAATCTGTAAGTGTGTAAGGTCATTTCCCTGCAGTATTTGTGCTGCTTCACTGGCCGTCTCTACATATCCACCATAAATACTGACAGAAACCTGCACACTCTGCTTAGCTGTGACAGTATCTGTAAATGTGTGTAAGAGACAGTTTACAAGTACTGTGTGCAGTCTGAGAGAATCTGTAAATGTACCGTGAGAATCTGTAAATGTAGTGTGTGCAGTCAGAGAGAATCTGCATGCACTGTGTGGAATCTAGAGTGAATCTATAAATACGCAGATGCCTTAGCCTGTGGTATTAATATTACTCCTACCTAAGCTAAAGGAACTCATTCTATGGAGAAATAAAAGGCTGAGCTGACTGTCAGGGATTGTAACAGCAAGCTAGATTCTACAAATAATGCCACTAAACTAATAATAGATACAATACTTCGAGAAATATAAGCAGAATAATTAAAATGTACTCACACAAGCATTCCCCAGACTTTGCAGCTACTCCAGGGAGCTCTTACCAAACCAGAAAGTGACTCCATTTTCTATAGCAATATTGGTTTATTGAACAAGCAGGGGTTTGTGGGAGTTGGAACTATGTAGAAAGCCAACAGCTGAACTACAAATCCCAGGATGCTTAGTAATGACATGTACAGCAGTATCTGGGGCAGAAAGAGTGGGCTTATAAAGGAAAAGTATGAAAAACTAAAGAAGAAGAATAACAAGAGTACCTATTTTAAGTACAATCTGTGTTAATGATTGCATACAGCCTTATATATCACTTATGGAGCTTAGAGAAAATGATTGAACACAATTTTGATATTTGTCATATTGGTATTAGTTTTAGCCATTATCTCTTACGTTCTCTTTGGAAGGCTGGATGTTTTTGTTATAAATCTGTTTAAGCAATAATTACATTTATTGCTTTTTATACTTTACTCAGTAACAGCCCAATATTCTTATTGAGAGAAAAGTAATAAAAATGTCCAATGACTGATGATTCACTGACTAATATACTATGGTTTACTAAGATAATATTGGATACAATCATAATGTATCCTCTGTTCTAAAAGAAGATACAGATATTGATTATGCAATCACTGAGACCAGCATATAGTAAAAACATTTACAGAAATCTTATAATCGTTGTAGTTATGGTGATAGTTTATAAAATTCCTCCAATCTCAGCTATTTATTGTTTTACTATGTACACTCTTTAGTAAAAATGAAAATCCAGCGCACTCCCTTATCTACTAAACAGCTAATTTTGTGCTGACAGATTTTGTTCTAGGCAAAAAATAATGGGGGTATAGTTACATTATATGATCATATATTGCATAAGCCTGCCACAACGTCAATGTACCACATCTTTGGCAGGTCCTACCCTAACAGCCAAATCTCTGCTAAATGAGCTACTTACTTGGGGAAATACTTCCATCTCGAGTTCTCTGCAGTACAAGGCTAACAGGTAGGGGTGCAGAACCAAGGAGTGGGCTAGACTCCTAAATAATATATATATATATATATATATATGAGAAAGCAAGGGGTTGGCTGCACTCACCTAAACATGCTTAAATAGGGTGCTGCTGGGGGCCAATAAGTACAGTAAATATGAAAATGCACTCTTTAGTTAGTAACATGTGTATCACTTTACTAAAAGTATTGTATGATTCTGATAAGTGCACAATAGCCAATCAGACACAAAGCTGAGGCTAATCAGTTAGTTCCTCAGGCTGGCAAAGCATCATGGGAAATGTAATCCAGAGGTATAGCTAATATTATAGGCTATGTATAGCAGATTATAAATGAATAATGCTTGTTAATAGCAAGATCTTACTAAACAAACACATATCATGGACTTCAATGAATGTCTGCTTTTAAATATAAATCCTTAGTTTTGGAAACTCATTGAGCAGGGCCCTGTAGTTTAGTTGTCTGGTTACAATTACATGTCTGTTAGTCCACCCATTGTACAGCGCTACGGAATCTGATGGCGCTATATAAAAAATAAAATAAAAATAATAGTACTTTATAATAATATTGAAAAGCCTGTGCGCATTTCTGTTTCCATGATAATTGCAAGGAAATCGATGCAATAAATATCTTTCACAGAAGCAGCTGTTAGAAATGTCTGTTTTCAAGATTCGAGATTCACTAAATAATATTTCTGTTTATTAATCTGTCACATGGATTGATTGATTAGATTACAGTTCACACCCAGAATCCTATTCACTTACTGAGCCGGGGTGGATACATGTGGGTTTATTAACTGATGATCAGGCAAGTCGCTTTACACTTTACAATTTCCTTTTCAATTTTACAATTCACAGTTTAGTGAATACGCCCCATAGTTATTATTTAAATTAACACATCAGTGAATAAATTAACCTCATTAACACACTGTAATCTAAGGATTATATTTCAGAGGGAAATACATTTATTGAATTCTTCTGACAAATTGTTACATTTATTTTGCTTGTGTAAAAATACTGTCTAAAAAAAAGTTTTTAGAAGCGATAAAAAAACACCAAAAATAACAAAATCATAACAAGCACTAGTATTAACCCCCTTGTGTACAAAGGAGCATATATGAGTTGGTCGCTGACAAGGTTTAAAGTAAGATCACATGAATTATTATGAGCAGTGCATTTAATGACAGATACAATGTAACAACAGGTAAAGTCTGGCTCACCCACAGACCTGAATGTGTGGATGCAAAAGGACATATTTAAAAAAAAAAAAAAAGTCTTCAGGCAGTAAAATATCTACATATATCTTTCTAGTCCAGAAGGGAAGTTTGGCTGTCTCATATAGGTGTTGTTATATTGACATACCCCATTCATCTGAGGACTTGGCAAAGTCAAGAGTTGCTCCGTGTGGTCTAGGCAGGGTCCAGACCTAACAGAGAGTCTGCTGGTGGTCCCATAGATCTGGGAGTTATTGGGGGAGTAGTTGGCTTGTGGTGCTGGTAGGTGAGGAGGGGATGAGGAGAAGTTGTACGACAGGTTTGAGGAGATGGCATTGGAGGATCTGTTTATTAAGGAACCCACTCCATTTGGACTGACAGACTGGAAACATGAAAGGTCACCTACCGAGCAGCTACTGTTCATGGCCCCCAAGTCCCCTCCATTTAGGCCCAATGAGTGGTGGTTAAGCTCAGAGCCAGGAGATGTCTGCATTGCAGATTGTTGGCTGATTAAACTGTCTATACTGAACATCCTGTGCTGTCCTTGGGCAGATCCTCCTGGAGCCCCTTGATAGTGGTGGACCATGGCAGGGTGGTGGGACACGTTGTGTATCTGATGGTTATATCCAGTGCCCATGCTGGGATAGGTACTGTTGGGGTAGGTGGATCTCCCAGCTGGGGTGGGGGTGAACGCACTACTATTCTGCATGTATCCTGGGTAAGTAGTAATATCTGTCCTCTTGAAGCGCTTTCTCCTCCTCAAAAAGCTCCCATTGTCAAACATGTCCTCTGCTGCTGGGTCCAGGGTCCAGTAGTTGCCCTTTCCTGGGTGGCCAGGTTCCCTGGGGATCTTCACAAAGCAGTCATTGAGAGTTAGGTTGTGTCTGATAGAGTTCTGCCATTTTTTGGAGTTCTCTCTGTAAAAAGGGAACCTCTCCATAATGAACTTGTAGATGCCACCAAGGGTGAGTTTCCTCTCTGGGGAATTGGCTATAGCCATGGCAATCAGGGCTATATAGCTGTAGGGTGGCTTCCCACGTTGGACTGGTCGTTTTCTTCTCCTGCCCCCAGGAGTCTGGGCCTGGTCATCAGGGTGTCCAGCACTGATCTCTTCTCCTGGGCTGCATCCCCCCTTGGGCTCAGACTTAATGGCGACTGCCTCCTTGACCCTGATGGACCCTGGCGAGTCCATGGACATGTTGGGAGAGGTCCCCATGGGACTGGACGCCTCTGATGGAGATGGTTGAGAATCTGCAGTCATGGTGCACATGCCTGAATAGTAGGAAAGATTTGCCAGATTCATAAACAAAAAGCTCTCAGATTCCACTCAGTAAATGTCATCTGGGATCTCTCCAGACAGACCAGGTGCAGCTCAGACTCCTCCAACCTGCCTTTATATAGCTCAGAGGTGCAGTCCTGGCGCCTCCCACTTCCCAGCACAGTGGCAAAGCTCTTAATTGCAGCCCCAGCCCATAATAGTCCCCAAATAGACAGCCTGGATCGTATCCCTGTGCTGATTAGCTGCAAGGATAGTGTATCTGGATCCACATGAGGAGAAGACACAGAGGACTTCCTGGTCACCTGGCAGGAATATTGGTGTCCTTGGGATGTATGGCATGGGGGCATGCAACACGGGATGGGTTGGCACAGTGTGGCAATGGAAATGGCTTTATTGTAGTCTGGGGTATCTTCTACAGCAACTGGCAACATTGGCATTTCAACTGTATGGACCTCAGTCCTCGTGGTGAGATTTTACCCAGCTGCCAATCCCAGGTGTATGGAGAAATAATATATAACAAGGGCCAAGGTGGTATATATAGGGCAGATAGTATAGAAATAGACGGGGAAACTGATTTATTTTCACGTTTAATACAAACTTTAAACAGCTTAAACGAAAATCTGGATATTTCTGCTACCAATAACTAATGTTGGTAATGCCACAGATTTTACTACAATGTATCATTTAAAGTATTTTAGTAATGTTAGTTATGTTGGTAAAATCACACTGAGTTAACCCTTCACTGCTGGGATTTTATTATAACGCTCTCGTGGCTGTTTTCACACAAAATTATCTTTCTGCATTTTATATATATATATTTTTTTTTTTCATACTATGTGTCACCTTCATTTTGATAACTCGATGTATAATCACAAACAACCGCTTTAGTCTAAATTAATTTAATGTTGTGCATTTTTAACCCATGGTTGCAAGTTAATTCGTTCTGTGTTAAGATATTACTACAATAGCAGTTTATACAATTATTGCACAGACAATATGCAAATTCTGTCATTAAAGTACTTTATTATTGTGCAACTTCCTTAATGAAATCATTATTCTTTATATTATTTACTTTGTGTCCATTTTCAATTTATTATTGTCTCGGGACGTAAATAAAATTGTTATTCTCTGCATTCACGGTAAATTTTTAAAACAATATATTTTTACAAACATGAAATTATTTCGATATTTACACCCAGGATATAAATGTCAAAGTATCTGTTCTGTGTAACGATTCATTCAAAAGACACGCAAAAAATATGTTAATTTACAAAACCATGTGCTATTTGGGGGCAAAGTGCTAACAAGGAGCAATATTTAGCATTTTACTCGATAACTACTGTTTTTGCTTTGATAAATATATATTTAATAATGTTTTCAAAATCAGTTATCGCTTATTGGTAAATAATATTAGATGATTCTGGATCACAGCGAACGAACTAATGGAATTCGCTGATCGTTAGTATTGATATATTCGTTATTATTACTATAGTGGCGTATCAAGGGTTAATGTGCTGATGTTTGGGGGCTATTTTTTAATTTTATTTCTGTTTACTTCTATACCCCCTCGAAACCAGAAGTCACAAAAAATCATTTTGTAACAAGTCCTGTGGCAAGGCATTTGTCATTATGAAGTTATCGTACGGGTAAAAGAGAAATATATATATAAAAAAAAATTAAATACAAAATTCTCGTGGAGGACGATTGCATCTGAATTGGATTTCAACACCTACTAATCACTTCCTGCAGATGTCTGAGTTTAGTTGATTGTGTTATAGAAGCTCCACTGAAATAATTTGAAAAAGTCCAAGAACACAGTTATTATTTATAGATCGCAAGCTCTTAAACCAAGTGATTCAGTTGTTCAACTGGATATAAAATAAGGGGTTATTAACTACTGAATTGGACAATTGAAGTTACAATAAAAGCAGTGACTTTAGCTGAATTTGGAATTTTTGTTTCCAAAACAGATATTTTACCCTGAATTTCAGTATTAGTTTAGGAGCAATTTCAGATTCTAGATTTAGTGAGTAAACCCTAAATGCAGCTGAAATCACAGAATGATGTCTAATGATCCATGTAATAGTTTTAATCTGCTACTAAGAATTCACTGTGGAAGATGTCATAGCATTTGGAATTGTAGATCTCACTGGAAAATTGAGCCTGGGTTTTGTTATTTACTTTTAAATTAAATACAATTCAGTATTTAGTGAATTAGTCCCTATTGGTAGAGCAAGGTTAACTAACTGCCCACTAAAAAGTGTCACAGAAAACAGTCATCTTAAGAAATGTATAGACAATGGGGGAGATTTATCAAACTGTCTATTCTAAAAAGTATTGCAAAATGTGTTTGTTTATGTGTTTGTGTGTGTGTGTATGTGTGTGTGTGGGTTTGTTTGTGTGTGTGTGTTTGGGGGGGGGGGGTCAACCTATGGAACGTGTCTGTTGATTGCCCTTGTTTCCATGGTAATTTCCCCAATTTTAGTACTTTAGTCCACATTTTAGAATAGAATACTTTGATAAATCTCTCCCAGTGTATTCCATTCACTAAACACCACCTCCTGGTGATTGGAGAATTCACTTGTATAAGTCTGACTTTTACAACTACTTGTTTGTTAGTCCAGCTATTGTACAGCGCTACAGACTTTGTTAGTGCTTTATAAATAATAATAATATAGACAAGTCTGATTAAATCTTCCAATGTATGAACTGGGAGGCTTTTTCCAGCACTGCCAATGTATCCTTGATGTAAGTAGCGGTGGTAGTGGCGCAGCATAAAACCTTTGGTCTCTGTACCTTATAAAGAGGAAAGGGCCATCTAGAATCTAGATAATTTGGGAAGTTTATTTGTATTCTAGATATACAATATTTCTTTGTGCAGTACATGAAAAGTTCTGCCCTGTTGTCTGTACAATCTATAAACTACTGCAAGTAATAACTAATTTAATCCCAGAGGCAGTAACGTACGGGGGAAGGGTCAATGAGGTGGTCCCCCTAAGTGTCAGCGAGAAGGAGTTGCACAGGACAGGAGAGTGGGGAAGGAGAAAATAACAAGGGGGAGCAGAGAAAGCCAGCGGATAGAGCAATATATCTATATATATATATTTGTAATTCTTGGGGGAAATCCTAAAGACAATTCGCCCCGGTGCAAAGTACAATGGGCAGAGGGAACCATGTCAAACTGCACATTATATCCCTATGCCTAATGGCCAACCCAGGCCTGGCTGGTGGCGTTACTTTATTAATAAAACACTCTTTATATTGTTCAACTTTATTATGCACCACTTCCTCTGAACATAACCGTTTATTTCAATAAGCATTGTCACAATAATAATACTAAAAAATAGTTCTGGAATTGTGAATTCAAAATGAATTCAAAGTGATTTTCAAATTTAAGCGTTGGATGGTTGATTTTGCAGTCTGCCCATCTTGGCCGTACATTTTGAAATTAATTTCGAATTGACTTTTCTGAAATCCCCAATGCCCTATTTGTGTCAGTTGAAACCTTTGTTGTTAGAGGGATATACAGAACACTCTAACATGTTACAAATTATTCTGGTACACAAGTCCATTTGTTGTGTTTTTATCTTTCTTTATGCTATTGTTCTCATCTCATATCCTTGTGAATAACTCAGGAATTTCCCATTCTGGGTCATTGACTCATGCCGGTGCCTCCCACCGCATCAGCTTTCCGCTGGTCAGATCTGACAGCATTCATCCTTCAGTGTCCTCACCGTAACAGGACTCAGCAGTCAGAATGGAGAGTAAGGGCAGTGTCATTGTTAGATTTCACATCATAAGACACATATTGTATAAAATCCCTTTGACTATGCAATGTAGAGAAAACTAAAATCATGGTGGAGAAAAGGTGAAGGGAAAGTATGAATACTTTGAAGCAACAAAGAGACATGTTTTACAGTAAAGGTGTTGCTAATTGTGGTGTTGCACTTTTATAGAATCTCCTTTCAGGAGCTCTTCATTTCTTTCTTGTCTTTTCTCACCCCTTGCCATCACCCATGGCCTTTTTCTCATACCACTGGCCTTTAATCTCAGACCTCTGGTATCTTGCTCTCTCTTTCCACTGGCCTTTAATCTCGGACCTCTGGTATCTTGCTCTCTCTTTCCACTGGCTTTTAATCTCGGACCTCTGGTATCTTGCTCTCTCTTTCCACTGGCCTTTAATCTCGGACCTCTGGTATCTTGCTCTCTCTTTCCACTGGCCTTTAATCTCGGACCTCTGGTATCTTGCTCTCTCTTTCCACTGGCCTTTACTTTCTTTCCTCTGATCTCTTCCTATCTTCTGTCCTTTGGTCTCTTCCTCTTTTCTCTAGTCTTTGCTCCCTGTCCCCATCTCTTTCTCTCTCCCCTAGCACTTACTCTTTTTCCTCTGATCTTTTGTTTTTTGGTCTCTTTCCCTCTTCCTGTGTCTTTGCTCTCTGTCCCCAGTCTCTTTCTCTCTCCCATGTACCTTACTTTCCTTACCCTGGTCTCTTCCTATCTGCCCTGACTCTTACTGTTTGTCCTGGTATCTTTCTCCCCTGTCCTATACCCTCTCTACTCTGGTCCCCTTTATCTCTAGACTTGCCCTCACATTCTATCTTCTGATCTCTTTTTCTCCCATTGGCTTGTAAACATTGTCCCTTTTTTTTTCCTCTCATTTTCCCATGGCTTTTCAATCCAGCATTTTAAATTTTTTATTAAATTGAATAAGGACACCATGGGCTGGGGTGCGAAGAATCACAGATGGGTGTCTTCTTCCACTGGTGCAATTTCATATTGCTGACTTCCTCCGCAACCAATTCATGCTGCTTAGTCGTCTATAGACCATGGCCTTGGATGTGAATTAACCTATGGTCTACAACCCATAAAACCCATTTGGGACCCACAACTGTAAGCAATCTACGTTTGGTGAGATCGCAACATTGTAAGCTAACGTTCATTGTCTTTTGGGAAGGTCGAGGGATGAACATTTGATAGGGATG